TTAGGACTTTCATATTCCTGTGCCAAGTCTTATTTTGACTACCCGTGGCTTTTTTCTGCCCACTGCATGCCTCAGCAAACATCGCGCACCGTGGTAGCCTATTTCGTGACATGTGTAATCAACCAACGTAATCTAAAGTCAGTTACTTGCTCCAGCGGGTAACCGCGATTAACTAAAACTCAAAGATTTTCACAAGAGGATCTGGCACCTTTCTTGTAAATCGGTATGATCACGGATTCACACCATTCAGCTAAAACCTGTTCCCTTTCCCACACAGGAGTTTCGTTAACTCCAAGACCAAGATTGAACCTCCATCCTCAAAAACCAATGGGGACAGCCCGTCGAGGTTGAAAGCCTTATACCTTTTGAGATAATTTACTTCCGGGGTAACCATCATCCCAGATGGAGGACTGTCAAATTGCAGTACTTGCCTAGTTGAAACAGGTACAGGGAGGTCTTCTGTCAACGTGGGCCAGCTGAACTGCACCTTAATATGTTCTACCCAACGTTCAAGACGGCATTGCTGACGATGAATCAGAGTACCGTCAGACTCCTTAATCACCTCAGTCACACCTACTTTCCTGTTGTCCGTACTCCTAATCAAACGAAAAAGATTCCGACCATCACTGATACCCGCAGCCTTCTCCAACGCTTTATACTTTCCTGTCCACCACTTCTCGCAGTCATTTTTTTAGACTCTTGATGATCTGGCGTTTCTGGGATTTGCGCCTTGTGTGGTATTCGGCATCTGAGGGAATGGCTTAGCGAACGACTAACAGGGCTCCCTTGATTGCCGTCCAGTTTTCACTAAGTCCGTCAGCTGATGGTTGAACTGAAAGACGATCAGATAGATCCACTTCGAAGGCCGATTTACAGCTATCGATGATATAGTATTGCGGGCTTTCCGAATAGGTTATCGAAAAAGTGAAACCAGCGAAACGAACGAAGGAAAATTCGGGGCAGTGACATGAAATTCTGCCCAGCCACCCGGATTGATTTCTCGATAAATATAAGTATCATTGAATTTCTAGAAGTTTTTGTTGTTTCATTAATGACACGTGATCCGAAAACAAACTTGTTTGTAATTTCCGGATCGACAGACTTCAGTAGTGGAAAAAGCTAGCTTATCGATTTGTACGTCCAGAGCTGAATCCTCATTACGACTGAGTGCGAAAAATCACGAATTGGAATAATCCGGCGGGTTGCCGGTGGAAAGAGGTCAGAAACACTATTGGAATTGACCGAGTGAGGTGAAATTTTAGTTATTCGGTAAATTACGGGAATAAGTAGGATAGGATGATTGCTCCTTGGGTCGAAAATGCCATTATCCTAAAGGAGTCGCAGGACACTTCTAGACGGGTGGAGTACATCAGAAATAAAAATTGGATCCCCGTTTAGAGTTTAAACAAATGCCTTCGTTTTCGAAATTGCATCCCTCTGAGTATGGCGTCTGAACTGAATAATTTGTATAGCTAAATTATATGCTTCTATTACGCTACTCGTCCACTACAGGGGACAAATGGAGATTTAAAATGATCCAGCTGAAAGAAATAATGTACGGCAAGGAAACTGGCAAAATGGCCCATTAGAAACGTTTGGATACTGAAATTATGACACAGTTTCGACTGTAACAGCATGTGTTTATAGTGGATATTTTGCAAAATATTTTTATATTTGATCATTAGTTAACGTTTGAGTACCCATTGCAGCTAGAATGTTAATTAATTTTTCCTGCTTATGTGCTTGAGCGCATCACCATACTATCGAAAATTAATAGGGTCAGGATCATGCTTGCCGCGGAGTAAAAGACAAAACTAATGCCCTTAGCGATGTTTCAGTACGTGAATCGCTGCGTGAATGACGATACCGAAACTGCCGAAGATCACGACGCGTTAGTATCAAGAGATCTTGCACGTCTTCTGCGTATCCCCGGGGCGCGATGTGAAGAGCATCTTCCAGTTCATTACTAGTTGGATATTGCTACTTGTCAGTTGTCGCCGTTATTCTTAGGAAATAGCTACCATAAAGTTCAAACTAGCGAAAGGCACTCTTTTTTACTTGTTAGACGGCTTGTCAACGAGCTGTATGCACATCGTTCAAGCCAGATTTTCTTCTTCCACTTGAAGACCCTCAGAAGAACCAAAGAACGGGCATATAAAAATCGTGACCGAGTTAGACAAACGTCAGTGCTGATTAATACTGAAATCCAAAATCTTGACAAGCTCTACACTGAAATCCTACTTGGTAATCGGAATTGCAAGCAAATCTGGAATGCTATGAAAAATTCGGACTACGCGGGCCTCAACCCACAGCAGATGAACTCAACTGTATGTTTTCCAAGTCGACTCAAACGGAAGTATCGTATCCATATTTCCAATAAATTGACCAACATGAAGTTTCGCACGTCAATTCTAATCAGGTGTGGGTACAGCTGATGTGCCTTAAAACATCAAAAGCTTCCGGTCCCGACGGAGTATGTCCAGTCGTCCTCAGGGAATGTGCGTGTTATCTAGCGGAGCCACTTGCCAGTATTTTCCACCGTTGCTTTGAGGAACAAAAAATTGTCGGCTGTCGGAGACCTGTCCCCAAAAAGAAGCTGGGAAATTGCGACTAATCACCTGCACTTCTGCTTCACTAAACATCTTCGAGAAGTTTACGCTTAGTAACATTACTCCCAACACTGGGCAGCTAGATAACAACTGATTCGCTGATCGCAAACAACGTTCTACCTTAGATGTCCTTGCGCATTTTGTAAACTCAGTTTTGTGATTCCCAGACATGCACGGTATAGCATTTCGTGTTTCCTCGACTATAGTAATGCTTTTAACTGTGTTGACAGGAGCAAGCGTTTGTCTCTACTCCAAGGTGCTGGATTGTCTCATACTACCCTCTCTCTACTCCGAGATTAGTTTACCGGAATAACACACTTCACGAAGTTTTTTGGAAAAACCTCTGACTCCCCGCCAGTCAACTTAGGAGTGTTCCAGGGAGCACTCGTCCCCCTTTTCTTCTTCTTCTTAAGTATTATTAAGTATGCTGATGATGTCACCATAGGTTTCAAATTACAAGGTGATTTCCGCTTCTCAGCTTCAAACCAGTTCATCTGCCTTAAGCTTACGGTCCTCATCTTCCAAGTTATCTATCAATGCCTCTAAATGTAGCAATGTTACCTTCTCGTTAGCCAAAGAAGAATGGCTACATTCTTTTGAAAGGAATTGTTCTGTACTCTATGTTGACAACCAGCCTCTTCCCCCAGTAAATTCTCTGAAATACCTCAGTGTCACTATCTGCCGAGTCTCACCTGGACCTCACATTTAAATTCTACTTTTATAAAGATTCGACAATTGTTTCTTTATTTTCCGCTTGCGTTCTTTGAAAGTTCCACTGTATTTACTCACCCGATTTGTATATTCTTGTGTTGTTACTCATCTTCTCTACTGCTCCCCAGTTTCATTTGCCGATTTTAGAGCTAAAGATTACACAATTCTGCACCGGTCTATTAAAATTATTTCTCGCACAAGCGGTATTGCCTATTTGCACTTAACTTTATTGCCGACAAACATTTACCTCTTGTGAAAACTTCTGCAACAATATTTTATCAGATATCCCTCACCCATTACACACAAATTCAGTTTCTACAAACATTACCTATGCACTACCGTGCGCCGGTTTCCATTGCACACAAAACTTAACCAATGCGTATCCAGTTCTGTAGCTAGATGACGTTATAAACTTGTGTACGCTCGTACATCTGCCTACCGTTTGTCCGTTATCCCATATCTCTCGAGATTTCTGGCTCAAAACGCATCCGTTCGAGAAGACTCTTTGAATTTCCTACGCAACTGATATCCATTTTCAAACTTTTACACCACACATTCCTTTGAATTTACGATGCTGTTTTTTACTTTTTCTTTGTAACTGTATGCGATGATAAATGATCCTGGAGTGCAAGAAGCTGAGAATTCATCCATTAGGATGAATTTATGACTTGACTTGACTTCAACAAAAGTGTTGATCATTGATGGCAATCGTGCATGTGAATAGAGGAGAATCAATAGAATAACTTACGTCAACTCAGACGCGGTTCAAAGCACAGGAAGAGTGTGGATAAAAGGGTGAATAGGTAAGACGTACGACATTTTTTATCTGGATTGCAATACGACTCTGTTGACACGTAGATCACTGCGAATCCCAACTCAGATTCAAGAATCGGTCGGCGCTGGACTGCTTTCAGTGCACAATATACCACACGCTGCCAGTCTCGTGATTCGCGATTGGGTTTTGCATGGATCAAACAAGCGCATGGTTGAGCAAGCAATAAACGAAGAATTTCATCGTTTGAACCTGGCGGTGCTGTGGGAAAGATTTGTTTGCAAATTATCGTGGCAGATTCCATGCTGTTCAGAAGCCGGATTTCACCACCACCAAGGTGCACCATATTTTGTAGTTGGGAGAACTAAAAACAGAAAAATAACAGCAAGTATACAAGGAGGGCATGCCGAATATCTGGTGGGGAGACGGAGAGAATAGATGACAAGAAACGATCATGTTTACCCCACGTCCATCAAGCTATCCATTAGACTTAAAGACGCGACATTTGTGGATAGCAAAGCAAATGCAAACATGAAAATAGAAACCAGCCAGCACAAAGAGACTGCACCTTGACGTGGTGTGATGACTTGATGAGCGAGCTACACATCACCGTACAGCGAACTTCACTGATCGCTATTACACAGGGTGGCTTTGATCAAGCCATAAGATCTTATCATACCTGGAAGGTTTAAGAGTAGAGATCAGACAAAGTTCAGTGTCCTGGTTCTTTAGGTTGGGGGTTTGCCTTGAGCTGGTGTCTCAGTCGGTAAAAATGCTAGAGGAATAATCGATCCAA